ATCGCCCCGAAATTGCTTTGCATTTCCAACTATGGTATTTTACCAAATGATATTGAGTGAGGACATGCTCCTTAAACACACAGAAAGTCCATGTCCCCAACAGTCTTGTCTAGAACAGGGTCACATACATATAAAAAAAACTATCATTAATATTAAATCAAAAAGCCCAACCGCCTTTGTACTGAAACATTTTAGGCTCTCATTGGTCACCAATGCCCACCTGCCCCAAAGCATATTCCCTCCTCAAACACACCCAATCAGTCAACATCTAATTAGAGCTCTAATTAAATCAAGTTTAGCCTGTGACAGATAGAGCATTTGAAATGCTCCATCATGACCAGGATGTGTTTGCCTTGACACAGACAGGCAAAAGCAAAAAGGGATCAAAATCTTCCCTAGATGTATACACATAGCTCCCGCTGAGACCCAGAATGAAGTCAGCGATCCACTCCAAGACTGCCTATTACAAGCCAGGACTTGCAGAGACCCTTTGGGGGTGGCACAAGGCACCAGGGGCTGTATTAGTCAACCAGAGGTAGCGAGCAAGAAAGAACTACCTGGAGACATAAACAAACATTATCTCTGGCTGCGTTACAATGGAGTTCAGACTTGACTCTGCCCTGTGAGCATGCTATAATGCTAACAGGAGTTACACATGGGTATCCCATGGAAAACAGCTACACAGTACTGAATATGAGAGCAAGAAAGGGAATGGGGAAGGGGTACAACAGCTGTGTCTCTGTCTATTTACAGTGTGCTCATCACCGTGGTATCTGGTGACCACTAGCCATCACTACAATGCACTGGATCCGCCAGCTTCACTTTCTAGTGTGGGCCACTGTCAGGTCTCTTAAAGGTACAGCCCACCAATAAAGATTTTTTGGCAAAAGCAAAGGATGGGAGAACGGAAAACGGAGTTATATTATCAGGTCTGTTACAGGCTTCACGTGTGACTTTGGGCACCTGTGCCGCAGTATCGCCATTTGTGAAATTGGGATAGTAATGTTTCCCTATTTCACCAAAGTGTTTGTGAGGCTTAACTCATTAACATTCATCAAACACTCTGAGATCCTCAGAGGGAAAGTGATATGGAAGTGCAGTGTATTATTAAGCCTAATGGGAGGCAAGGTAAATGTTTCTCTGAAGTGAAGGTTCCACTTGGATACTGCCACTGCATTAACATGGAGTAACATATGCGGTTGAATGCGCAAAGTCTATTACCTACACTCTAAGATGAAGTTCTCTCTTTTTCCAAACATTGTAACCACTGGATCTTTGCCCCAGCCTCACTGTCATGTCAGTTATTGCAGGGTGTGAAATCACATCCTTTCCTTGTCATAACAGGAGAGATAAAAACTTATAATAAAAGAGGCTTGCCACAAAGTGGTAAAAGAAAAACAAAATCTGATGTGTCCAGGAGATAGCACTGAAATTCACTTAGAAACCTGAACAGCAAGGAAGTGATTGACCGACAACGTACAAATGGATTTTTTTCTCTCCTTTCTTCCTTCTGGTTTTTATACTGTTTTATCAAATGATCAGTTACATCATTCCCATCATTTTGTCAATTTCTTCTAAGGGGATGGAAAGGAATATGGAGACTGATCTACTTGACAGAAAAAAAAAAAAGGGAGAGGCCTTAGTAGTCAAGGAGACAAGCTTATTTCAGGCTTCTCTAACTATCTTGAGCCAAACAGCAGGACTTATTGTGGAGAAATGAAGGCCAAGAGCTTCACAGAAAGAAGCATTATTAATTAATGCTTAACTAACACTGGCTGACATACTGACTATAATAAATAGAACATTTTTTATTAATATATCTTTAAATGTTGGATCAAGGCAAGGTGCCTGGGAAGAGAACAGAGTTTTCTATTATTGTTTATATTGCTGTAACGGCTGAAAGAGATCAGGACCCAAATGTGCTAGTGGCTGTACAAACATATCCTATCCCAAAGAGCTTACAATGTAAAAAGACAATGACAAGTGGATGAGACAAACAAAGGTGGGAACCACGTGGTGTGTGTGTGTGGGGGAAGATGGAGAACAAAAGTGATAAGGTGTAAAACATTCCTGGCCAGCCAGTAGCAGTTTCTAATTTCTTTTAGCCAGACAAAGGTGAATGCAGCTAAAAGAACTTACTTAAACCTAACACCAGTACCACAAAACCAAATAAATCTTGTTGCCACCAGATGAGAGCAAAATTCTCTTAAAACAGGTAGCTATAAACAGAATAAATACTGGTTGCTTCCAATGACAGTAAAATATTACTCGAGAAGGAAATCCATTCCAAAGATTGTGGCACGATATGTGGTGGAAAGGCTAAGACCAATGCCCGACACTTTCAAACATAAGTGCCTAACTTTAAGCACCTAAATCCATATTTTGGAACCTTAATAAAAGTGACCTGATTTTCAGAGGTGTACCACAACTCCCGCTGACATCCATAGGAACACCTCGAAAAATCCCCCCTGGACAGCCATTTAACGCTGAAAAAGCCGGACATATCCAGGGAAACCCGGACGGATGGTAACCCTAACTACAGCACATGCAAAATTAGGGCCTAGCACTGGTCATTTAACCAAAGTTTTACTAATCAAATTGGCTACCAGCATTAACGGGGTCAGTAAATAAATATGTGGTTAGATATAGTGGGTGGCTACAATCCCTCTCTCTGTTCTGCTTTGAACATTCATATTATATTTAAAAATAAGGATTGGTCACCAGTACAAACCCTCTCTGTGGAAGTGCCCTGAATTTACATAGAGCTTGCAAACACAGTTTATGTAATGTTCCCTGCCCAAAAGAACGTAGGAAATGTTAACTTAAAGCTTGCATGGTTTTTAAAGATTTTTCCCCCATTCAGTCTGCTATAGTCTGCTGCCTGGTTAGGCTGTTACATTTAATGCATCATGGATAGAAAATAAAACTCCTTGTTTTTCTGATAATTGTTACCTCTCCATTTAGATCCTTCAGGGACATTGGCTTTCTGAAACCTAACTGCACTTCTAGAAGGCAGGTGATACCTGGATTCAACTCTTCCTAGCCAATGGGCTTCCCAGTAATCTATGACCCGTCATGTTTTATAATTCATTTCAATGGGCTAGACACGTGAATATATATATATATATACGAGACAGCCTCTGAATGCCAAATTAATTCATTGTGATCAGTGTTATTACAGAGGGAAACAAATGAATTCCTTATACCAGAAAGTGGTGCCTCCCCAAAGAATGAATAAATAATGAACAATCCTGGCCATAATCTGCCAGTGTAAGTGATCAGTTCTGTGAGACAGCCGCCTGTTATTTATGTTCAATAGCTGTACTGTGCAGGTGATTAAAACACTGGTTGGTGTTCACTCATCGTTCCCATTCTATCTTGTAAGTCAACGTAACTCTGCATCAGTTTCATTTGAACGTCACTTTATATTCTGCATGACAAGTTTTACAACTACTACCCACACCCCATACTTGTATTTTTTTATTTATAGGTATTTTGGTCTTCCCATTTATCGGCCCAACAGAGACTCTGAAGGTTTAGGTGATTCTTTATTTATCATTTGTATTATAGAAGCACCTAGAGGCCTTAACCAAGATCAGAATCCTATTGTGTTAGATGTTGTACATACACATAGCGAAAGACAGTCCCTGCTGCAAAGGTCTTACCACCTAAATAGACAAAACTGAGAAGCAGTGAAAGGAAATATTATGATCCCCACTTGAGGCACAGAGTGATTTGCCCTGGTAGGAACTTTGTAACAGGGTTGAGAACTGAACCCAGCTCTCCTGAGTCCCACTTTAGGGTCTCAACTCTAAGACCATCCTTCTTCTCACAGGATCCTTCTCTCAGCAGATGGACTCACAAAAAGTATGTTAAGTACTTCAGAGCTCCTCCTCCCCAGGATTGTCTGGTACACTGAAGGTCAACCGAACTACTATCGCTGAGTGTATGGTTTCCAAAGAAACGAGATATGAAACACTCTAGTGTGGCCATCTCATCCACTTATATTTAGCTAGCACTGACAAATCTGACTTTAATAGCTGTCTAGGGGACTGGATGGCACAAGGCATTAACGTGGTACAGAGCCTTACACCTCTTGGTTATGGGGTCTTATCTGGGTAAGGCCAGCAGTCCCCTCAGGTTGTTACCATTGTTGGTTAAATGGGTGGGTGCCTTCAGCATAATTCTGACTGGAATTGTGTCATATGCCATGACCAGAACTAGCACCTTTGCTGACAGTCTCAGGGGAGAGGCCTTTCATGATTATTTACATTTTAAGGTATTTGGGCTTGTGTACAGCGCCTAGCACAATAGGGCCCCCATCCCAATTCAAAGTGTTTCCAAACTGTAAATAATGGGGAGAGAGCGAGCGTGCGTGCCTGGTCCCATGGAAGTCAATTGGAATTTTCCCTCATTCAATGGGTCAGGATTTTTCCCATAGAGTCCAAGGATTGCAGAGGCATGGAGAGCGAAGTTCTCCATTTGTACAGCCTGCATTTGTACAGTTGGAAGCACACTGACAGATCACGAGGAGGAACAAGATGACCTAACGGTCCAATCCTGCAACCTACTGAGCATTTCCTGTGAGATTCTGAACATCAGGAGATATGGAGGACTTGATAGAGTTTAGAAACAGGATTGGGCCCAAATCTAAAGACTTTACTTAATTTTGACTTCCTATTTACTCAGCCAAAATTCCATTCAAGTCAGTGGCATTTTTGCCTGAGTAAGGACTGACACTGAAGAAAGGCTTCTGGATTTGTCCCATTCACTACAAACCTTATAAAATATTGTTCCTCTTTTCATCAGTTTATAGACAGATCCAAGAGAAAGTAGCAAAACTGCTCATGTTTCCCCCTTTTCTGATCAGAGGCATTTGTTAACCCTAACCCTATCACCAGAAAATGAGAAACATTACAGTTAAATAGCATTGTTTCATTTTAAACAGTAACACACTTTAATAATCCCCCCACCCCCTAAATAAAGGAAATAACACTCACTTTTTAATTTACCTTTTTGAAGTATCTAGGAATAATCCATCAAATACTCCTTGAAGAATGCAATTTTAACCTGGACATGTGCTAAGCTCAGTCTACCTGTTGAAAGATGTACACAGAAAAAGAAATTGGTCATTTAAAAAAAAACTTAATTCTATACAAACCAAGAATTAGAAATAGCTACTTATAAGCCAACTGTGTCTTATATTACCAGTCTCCTTTGCTAACACAACTGCTTGGTATGAACGTTGTGCTGGGATTACACTAGATTGAATATGTTTGTGAAAAAGTAAATAATATGATTGTCAGGTACACAACATAAAGTCCATTGTTTCCCGGCAGTTAATATGTTACATGGCAAACCAAGGGTTAAAAGCAGACCTTTTCTTAAAGGATAACACACATTAAAGATGGAAAAGACCAGTTAAATCATCCAGTCCATGGCCAATGGAGGACAGTTCTGTAAAGTACCAAGTGTTGGCTCCAGTCTGTGTCTTAAGCAATGTGGTAACCATTCCTTCCCATGGAATACAATATCAGAAGTTAATAGTTAGAAGATTTTTTTTTCTTATATTCAGCCTAATCAAACCTTTTAAATCCAATTCCATTCACTGAGTTAGATCCCTATTTACCCACTAAGTAATTCCACTCCCTCCTTACTGGTTATACTCATTTCATCGTTGTAAATTCTGTCTCCCCTGGAGCTCTCTTTGCTGGTACCAGGGTGTCCCAAACCAAGTGTAATATTCCAAGTATGTGGCACCAGATCACTATACAGACAAGCTTTCACATCCCTTCTCTGTGACAAAATGCCCCTGCATATACAGACCAAAACTGCACTGCCCTTTATATATTACCATCTCACACTGCAAACTTATTTCAAACTTAGTGTTCATGACTCTGACCATCCAAGGTACAGAGGACACACCGGAATGGTTCCCCTACTCCCTCCTGTGCTCTCCTCCAGTTTACGTATCCTGAGTTCTCTTTCAACATTTCTCCTTCCCCGGCTATCCCTCCCTTTTATTGGTTGGGTGCATTCAGCATTACTTCTCCCACAATCCGATACATTTTCATGTATTATTATCCTTTGTTTGTGTCCCTTCAGACGGTTTTTAATCAACATCATTGCAGGGTCCCTCGCTAAGGCAATCTGAATAAATCTTGAGGCCTCCTCTATCTTTGGTGCTCATTTCAGAACGAGCAAAAACAACAGTAGAAGAGGCCATTAGTCACAAGAATGCCCCACTGAGCAATCTTGATGATAAAAGGAGCTGCGATCAAACTGAGATCTCTCCTTTGTCAGGAGCAGAGTATCTAATGTATTTATATGAGCTCCATCACCATAGTATCTGAAAGCCTCTATATTTTTAATGTGTTGATCCTCACAATACCAATCTGTGGAAAGAAAATGCTATTATCCCCATTGTACAGATGTGGAAGTGAGGTGCTTGTAGCCTGGTGGGCCAGCTTACCTCTATTATATTCACTGCTTCGATTATATTCTGCTTTATTATAGTTAGCAGTAATGCAAGGAACCTCCAGGCCTGCATGCTGTAAGACACTGGCTTCATCAGTTAGCATAAGGCTTGAGGCCTAGGAACTTTGGCCTAGATAAGTTTAGGGGAACTGGAAGTAGAGTGTAGGTGGGAATTTTGTCCATAATGACATCAGCCAACCACAGAAATATAAACTAACACCAGCTTCTGGAAGGTTTTGGACGGAACATCCAACCATAAGAGTGCCATGGCAACACACTGACGTATATGATAATGGGGTGAAATCATAAATATACTAACCGGTCGAAGGACACCTCAACATTGGTAAGGGGAGGAAATACAAATAAGGAAGAGGCGAGAAACCCCTATTGAATATGCATTAGACATAGGTAACGTCAGTGTAACATATTATAAAAGTGGCATCCCAGCCTGTGGGCAGGAGGAGAGAGAGATGTAGCCCTTGGGAGGGGCCAGAATGATGGCCACTGGTGAAAATGAGGAAGGTGATGGTGATGAGGAAGATAATGGCTAACATTTCATGTTGTTCTGCCAGGGATGGTGGAGTATGGATGTTCAGATGTACTTTCCCACCTGTTCATGCTCTCTGTATGTGTGTATATATATCTCCTCAATATATGTTCCACTCTATATGCATCCGAAGAAGTGGGCTGTAGTCCACGAAAGCTTATGCTCTAATACATTTGTTAGTCTCTAAGGTGCCACAAGTACTCCTGTTCTTTTTGTGGATACAGACTAACACGGCTGCTACTCTGAAACCTGTATTATCTCTATCTACCTTGCTGGGTTAAAGTATGTAAAAATCATGGAGCAGGTCCTCAAGGAATCAATTTTGAAGCATTTAGAGGAGAGGAAAGTGATCAGGAACAGTCAGCATGGATTCACCAAGGGCAAGTCATGCCTGACTAACCTAATTGCCTTCTATGAGGAGATAAGTGACTCTGTGGATGAGAAAGCAGTGGATGTGTTATTCCTTGACTTTAGCAAAGCTTTTGATACGGTCTCCCACAGTATTCTTTCCAGCAAGTTAAAGAAGTATGGGCTGGATGAATGGACTATAAGGTGGATAGAAAGCTAGATCGTCGGGCTCAACGGGTAGTGATCAACGGCTCCATATCTAGTTGGCAGCCGGTTTCAAGTGGAGTGCCCCAGGGGTCGGTCCTGGGGCTGGTTTTGTTCAATAACTTCATTAATGATCTGGAGGATGGCGTGGACTGCACTCTCAGCAAGTTTGCAGATGACACTAAATTGGGAGGAGTGGTAGATACGCTGGAGGGTAGGGACAGGATATAGAGGGACCTAGACAAATTAGAGGATTGGGCCAAAAGAAACCTGATGAGGTTCAACAAGGAGAAGTGCAGAGTTCTGCACTTAGGACGGAAGAATCCCAAGCACTGTTACAGACTAGGGACCGAATGGCTAGGAAGCAGTTCTGCAGAAAATGACCTAGGGGTTACAGTGGATGAGAATCTGGATATGAGTCAACAGTGTTCCCTTGTTGCCAAGAAGGCTAACGGCATTTTGGGCTGTATAAGTAGGGGCATTGCCAGCAGATCGAGGGACGTGATCATTCCCCTCTATTCGACATTGGTGAGGCCTCATCTGGAGTACTGTGTCCAGTTTTGGGCCCCACATTACAAGAAGGATGTGGAAAAATTGGAAAGAGTCCAGCGGAGGACAACAAAAATGATTAGGGGGCTGGAGCACATGATTTATGAGGAGAGGCTGAGGGAACTGGGATTGTTTAGTCTGCAGAAGAGAAGAATGAGGGGGGATTTCAACTACCTGAAAGGGGGTTCCAAAGAGGATGGATCTAGACTGTTCTCAGTGGTGGCAGATGGCAGAACAAGGAGTAATGGTCTCAAGTTGCAGTTAGGGAGGTTTAGGTTGGATATTAGGAAAAAACTTTTTCACTAGGAGGGTGGTGAAGCACTGGAATGGGTTACCTAGGGAGGTGGTGGAATCTCCTTCCTTAGAGGTTTTTAAGGTCAGGCTTGACAAAGCCCTGGCTGGAATGATTTAGTTGGGAATTGGTCCTACTTTGAGCAGGAGGTTGGACTAGATGACCTCCTGAGGTCCCTTCCAACCCTGATATTCTATGATTCTATGTGTGACTTTGCTAAATATATTAATAAATCATTTATTTGTAAATATAGAAGAGTTCCTATAGAGTGAGTGTTGCACCTGTGCACATCGGGGTTCCCAACTATATAATAATCTTAATAATACTTAGTCCGATTTGGTGACAAGAACGTGTCTACCCTTAAAGTGATAACTGGAAATTCTTATTCATAATCTATAGATCAGGCAATGCCCAATTCTTAGGCACCTCACAGCCCAGCGAAATACAGAGCCCTAGCTCTGACACCCAGGCTTCCCATGCATTATATGGAGAGAATTTTGTATCTAAGAGAGGATTCTCAGAAGTAGAGAGGGGAGCTGCCTAAGCTAGCCAGTAGGAAATGCTGAGGAAAGAGGCAGGATTTGGACACCCATGGATCTGGGTCCTAACTCCCATTGATCTGGACTAGGGAGGTGCCTATCTCTGCTTGCAATTCTCAGGTCATGAGCCCTCTCCTGGGTTTAGGCACCTATGCCTGGTCAGCCCTTCCTCATGGAAAACCAGAGCGACATCCCCCAACCCAGGATAGCAAATAATTCAGTGGTTAGGATGCTCGGCTGGGAGGTAGGAGACCCGTTTTTAAATCCTCACTCTGCCGAATTTGGAGCAGGGATTTGAACCCAGGACTCCCACTTTATAGGAGTGTGCTGTAACCACAGGGATATTGGCTAGTCTGGAGTAGGTCTCTCGCAGCCTCTCCTGTTGGAGCTGTTCTACTCTGTATAAATAATTATTCACTGAGCGGCAGAGAGAAAAAGTGAAAGATTGACTCTCTGGGCTTGGCACTCACTTGGGAGAGTGGGATCCTAAACCCTGTTCCAAATCAGGCACCATGGGGATTCAGATCTCCCAAATCCCAGGGGAGTGGGCACCTAAGGGGGTTTAGATGCATGCAGCAAGTGACTGGTCCTTTGGAGAGTGTAAGTGGGCCTTAAATGCTCTCGTGAATCTAGCCTTGAGGAACTTGCCCACCATCACACAGGACATTTGTAGCAGCACCTAGACTTGAACCTGGGTCTTGTAAGTCCTAAGATAGAGTGTTTTAACCACTGGGCCATGCTACCTCTCTCCATCAGCCAGCAGTGTGTAAAAGTTCACACTTACAAATCAGGAACACTTCCTGTCCATGGTGACAGCATCATGTTGTGCTGATACTACGAGAGAAGAAGCATTTGAGAGCCCCCAAAGGTACGGATCACCCTGTCCATATGCAGGATAACCCTGGAAATCATGGGGTGAGTGTGGCCCCTAACAGTGACTACAGAAAAAGGTCCTTTCGGGTAAAGGGCAAAGGGCTGAGAATTAAATTTCTAGAGCAATCTTTTTTTGTTTGGGTTGTTTTCTTGCAGAAATGTTAACTGAAGCTTCTTAATCAGCTCTGAAATATTCTTGGAAACTCCAAGATCACATGCAGCTTAATAAGAACCAGCAGGGGAAAAAAAACAACCATGCAAGCCAAA